TTTAATTAAAAAATTTTAACTTTCCTAATTTAAAATTTTAAAAACTTTAATTTTTTTCATTTTGTAATTTGTTTCATTAAAACACCCTGTATCAATGCAAAAATACCTTTAAGTTGTACCATCAAAAATAATTTCACTGAAAGCAATATATGAAATACTAATTTCCATTATAAAAATTAAAGCCCTTGTCTTTTTTTTTAAGGCGAATAAAAACGACAACAACCACTTATAAGTGGTATTATCAATTTGTGAAGCTGTTAATTCTATTGGCTGCTTTTTTGGCGTTATAAAATTCTCACTTCAATTTATCAGAAAGCTCATACAAATGTGCAAACACACACATACTCAAATACAAGCGTGCTGCCAGTAAAAGCGTTTTAAGCGTAGCAATGCGATGCTAACAAATGCTCAAACGCCTTTTGCTTTGGCCAAGCAATTTATGCGCAATTACACACATGCTCGGGTGTTTACATTACTCCCAACACACACACACCACACATACAGACAGACTTATACATACTAAACATGGAGAGGCAATTAAAATATTTGACTTTTTTATGGACTATAAACAACTAGCAGAAATGCCAATAGACGCGAAAGACCAATAGCGCGCGGCTAAATACAGTCAAGCGCAACAACAACAACAACAACAACAACTATAAATAGAATAGTAAACGGCATAGCCACAAAAATGTTAGCAACAACAATAGCGAATAGCAATTATTTGTTGTACAGCAAACAATCATAACATATCAAGTATGAAATTATAGTGAATTAGTAGTAAGCAAAAGCGATACCAGCAACAACAACAACAACAAAAATAAATCAACAACATTGTATGGTATGACTGCTGAATAAATATTATTGCGAATATTCCACGGCACGCCGGGAGACATTTTGGGCTCTGCGCACCTATGGCGGCCAAGCAAATCCATATGCATATGCATACTTGTTCATTTACATCTGTGTGTGTATGTGTGAGTGTTCAGTAGAATGATACAGCTACTTTGTAAATATAATTAAAAGGAAGAGTTAAGAGTTGCTTCGCGCGCAAACGAACTTTTGGGACCAGCCAAATTTGCAAGAAGTAAAGAATGTGCAATATATCGAGATATCTGACTAACCTGTGAACCGAGATTTACAAATTTTTGGGCTTAAATTACGAACCTTCCGCGAGGAGGCAAACAGATGCCGCCTTTAAATAAACGTCCATACTCCCCACTGGGGTTGCTCCGAGGGCAGCAAACCGACGAGGGATTACATAGCGGCCAGTACCTGTACAACTGTTACAACGTGCGGATAGCGGCTTGCAGCGGATAGCGGCTTGAAGCGGAGATCTTTATTCTGATTTTGATCGGTTAGTTTGGAAAGTTTATAGCTGCTATAGTAGGTTGTGACAAAGTCATCGATAATAACCTTAGCCAAAATTCTTGAAGACACCTCGTCAAATGAAAAAGTTTTCCCTACAAGCTCTTGATTCTAACAGTTTAGTTTGTGTGGCAGCTATATGCAATAGTTGTCCGAAAACGGCGGTTCTGGCAAATTAGCAGATTCTTGGTGAAAAAATGGATTATAGACAATGGATTATATTTCAAAAACTGAGAGAATAATTCGGATATATACAGACAGACAGCCAAACGGGCAGACAGACGAAGATGGCTAAATTGGCTCGGCTCATCAGGCTGATCACTTGACTATACATTGGGCAAGAAAAGCACCCGGAAATTGTAATTAACTTCTCAGGATAAATGATATTTCAAAAAGATATATTTTGCTAATTTGGAAGGAATATTCTTAATAACTTTGCCAAATATGAACACGATCTGTCGACCAGTTTGTTTACAAAAGCTGCATAAGACGGTACACCTCAGTGGTGCGTTGTGATTTTTTCCAATGAATAAAAATATCGAACAAAGAATTTGTCTAAAATTTTGTACTATAACCAAATTTCTTGTGCGGAATCTTTGCGAAATTTGGAAAAAGAAAAGGGTGATTCAGTTCTTAAAGTCTATGAGTGATATAAAGTCCTCAGAGTCGATCGAGAAATCCTTAAAGATATGTTTGGTTCTGGATGATCTGCGTTCTCTTCAAATGATGAAAATATTATAAAAGTGAAGGATATGAAAATCGTCAGACAAGTGTTAGAAAGATTGCAAGAGAGTTCGACATCATTGGCGAGTATGTTCGAATGATTTTGGTGGAAATTTTGGGTATGAAACGCGTTGTTGATCGATTTGTCCCGATAAAGCTGAACTTTTTTACAAAAAGAGTACCGCAAACAGGTCTCTTTGGACATCCTTGATCGTGCGACTTCACAGAGAGCATTATATCTGCCGATCAGACATGAGTTAATGAGTTTTACATGCAAACAGATCATCTATCTTCCGGAATGAAGGAGGAAAAAACAAGCCGAAACCAAAAAACCACGCCAAAGCCGCTCAAACATCAAGGCAGTTTTAATTTTTGTTTTTTTCGTTATTCGTGGTTTGGTACATCATGAATTTGTTCAAGGAAGGACAGGCAGTCAATAGGGAATTCCATTTGGCCGCATAGAGGCTATTGCGTGAGAACATCCGTCGAAAACGGGCGGATTTGTGAAAGAACAATTCATGGATTTTACACGATGGTAATGCAACAACGCATCGAGCTACGATGTGACCGAATTTAAAGTCAAAAACACAGTGCATTAAATCGTTCAACCATTGTGTTCACCAGATTTGGCTTGAAGTGATTTTTTCGCCTTACCCAAACTGAAATTGCTACTCCGTGGAACCGGTTTGTAGTCGAGCGAAGAGATAAAACAAAATTCGCTAAAAGCGCTAAAGTCCATCCCAAAAAGTGCTTTTGAAAAGTTTTTCGAGAACTCGAAATATTGTTGGCAAAAGCGTATAGTATTGAATATGGGGCGACTACATGCTTTGAAGGCTTGTCTTGCGTATTATTTACAATTTCCGGGTGTGTCAGTCTGGTCACTTTTCAATTGACCTGTTAGCTTTTGAACGGTTAGGTTTACGAAAAAATCATTAGGGACCATTTTGTAGAACATTCAATTCAATTTCCTACAAAATCTATGAAACGCGATTTTTTTCCGAAGTATTATAGATGGAAGCGAGATTTGAAATTTTCCATCGGATAATAAGAAAAAATAAAGGAAACATAAGGCAATACACAAACAAAACTTACCAGCTTTAGAACGTTGTAATCAGTTGTGGTGCATGGAGACGGTAGCATTGCGAGGTGGACAGTTTTAACCGTTTGGCATTTGTTGTTTTTGTTGTTTTTAGTATATTTTAACATTAATTATTATTATTATTATTTATACTTTTTGTCGTCTATAGCATATAATACTTGCATGCAGAATTCAGTTGTGGAATAGCGATCGGTACGCACTCCGCGCATATTTGCATACGCACACATACATATATTAACGCCTGACCCTATGTATGTAATATATAGCTTTGTATGTGTGTATTGACATTATTCAGAGCAAGCGCGCGCAATTTTACATACATACAGACAACGGTAGCGGCTGCGCTCCAATAAAACCGAATGCATGGAAATGCTTTAGAACTGCGCTACACACATATATGTACAAACATATGTATGTACACTTGTTCGCATTGAAGCGTTGAGGAACAGTAGCAGACGCTGCCAGCAAGCGAACGCCACACACACAAACAACTGTCTATAGTTTGTCTGTCTGTGTTACAGCCGGCGCGTTTGTATGTTTGTAGGTGTGTCGGCTGCGCGCACACTACCGCTGACCGACTCAACTGACGTGCGGCAAATTAATTATGCTCAGCATGTGGATTGATATCTGCTACAGTTTGAATTGACTTCGTCGCCGTGGTCGCCCCGCGGCAGTCACAGACACGCGGGCAATCCCAAGTTTTGTATGCGCCACTCGAAAGCGCTTTCCGCCCGCCGTTGTCGAGCTGTTGAGCTAGCTAGCGCTATGTGGCTGACCGGCTGCCTGTTGGCTGGTGGCTAGTGGCCGGGGGGTTGTCTGCTTGGCCTTTGTGTTGCTGTTGATCCGGCCGTTCGCAAATCGTTGACGCTTTTTTTGCAGAGGCGCTTGTATCAGTGCGAGTATATGTGTGAGTGTGTATGTCCACGCGTTGTTTACACGTATAATTTGTGTTTTGCGAGTGCGTAGATAGCTATCGGATGTGCCACATGCATATAAATGTGCGTGGCTACGTGTACGCGTTGCTGTCCAAGCGCCCGGGCGCACACTTTGCTGACCGACTGTGGATCTGGAATAGAATAGGAATGATAATTATTGGAATTGAATTCATCATAATTGTGCGAATAATTTAACGGTGTTAAGTTAAATGCTCCTACTGGAGAAATAGAGTTGTTTCGGTATATTTTAATAACCGCGCAACACAGCCATAATATGATGTAATGGTTTTGTAGAGCTAACGGTTGTTTTTAAGAGCTCTAAGGTATAAAATAGTGAATTATAAAATTATTTTCAAATATGTACCATCTGATCAAAAATGAGCCGGACTAGCCGAAAAAATATATAATATATACCATCTGCTCAAAATTGACCCGGACTAGCAAAAAACAATTATATAACATCTCATCAAAATTGACCCGGACTACCAAAGAACATTTATATAACATCTGATCAAAATTTACCCGGACCAACAAAAAAAATCGACGTCAAATTCATAAGCTTTGCACCTTGTCACCAGTAATAATATTGATTGTCAAAAAAGTCTTGCGGTATTTTCGCTATTTGGCGCTGAGAGCGCGTAGTTCTAGTTTTATTCGTCGCATCGGGTCATGCTATACCTTTTTGGAAAGCTCATTTCACGCGCTAACACGTGTTTGATTGATTGTCGTTTCTTTTAAGTCGTTCGTGAGTTATAGCGTCGCAACCATGGAGCAAAATAAAGAGAAAATACGGCATATTTTACAGTACAACTACGATAAAGGCAAAAATGCATCTCAAGCCGCCAATAAAATTTGTGCAGTTTATGGACCCGATAGAGCTTCCATTTTCACCGCACAACGATGGTTTCAACGTTTTCGTTCTTGTGTAGAGATGGTCGAAAACGCGCCACGCTCCGGAAGGCCTGTCGTCGAAAAATTGCGATAAAATCGCTGAATTGGTCAAAAGAGACCGGCATAGTAGCAGCCGTAGCGTGGTCAAGAGCTGGGCATAAGTCATCAAAAAAAAATTTATGAACAATTGAAAATTCAATAAAAATACCGCAAGATATACCGCAACACTTTTTTGACAACCAATATATTGATCAATATAGAGTGCTCAGCTTTGCTTTCAGGTTTCTCTTTTACAAATGTTCACGTCTTTTGGTATGAATCCAACGTTGAAACGCTAAATACCCTAAACAGGAACCAAAATGTGTTGAGTCGATCTATAAGAGAAGTTGAGAGCCTTTTATCTCTCTGAAGCCAATATGACGATTTTCAAACTTTTACAATGCCATCATCATTGGCAAAGATCGAGAGATGACTCGCATGAAGTAAGTTTTGGAAGGCTTTACAACCTTCCTGGAATTTTCGTGATAAAGTAGACCGCCCAAAACACTAAAGCAATATTTTCAAGGATCCCGGAGACTTGATTACATTGGAAAGATAAAATTTCCTGGAAAACATATTTCATAACAAACATCAGAATTACGAGACGAATTGATTTCCGGACGTCTGTCTATCCATCTGGATTTCTATTGGTGGAATATCTGGTCTTCTCGTATAGAGAGCACGAATTCTCATTAAAATTACGCGTGGACATTTCGCTCTGTATAATGTGTTATTATATCAATATTGTTTGGTAAAAGTACTTTATAGTTTATTACAGCTAATATATTATCAAAATATCATGTTTATAATATTAGCAAATCTTTCGAGTATTGAGCCATATATACTTCTATATGAGTGTGACAATTTGGCACCTAAAATGATGAGAAACTAATATTTAATTCTTACAAATTCTTAAAGTATTCAATGTTCGGCTGTGCCTGAATTAGATCTTCTTTGTTTAATATATTAATCTTATCATAACACTCTTTTTAAAATAAAACTGTGATTAATTTTTAATCGATTATCTTTGGATATTCCTTATAGTATAAAAATATGTTCATGCCTTTCTCTATTTTTGTTGTAAAATTGTATCCAAACATGGGAGCCCAAAATGCTAGAATTGAGTTTAGTTCAGTTAAGAGACTAAACCCATTACCCAGCCAGCAGTGACTAGTTGCTTCGTTTTCGAGACAAAAGAGATATTTCGTTTCAGAAAACTGTCTGGCAGAGATTGCTAATAAGCCGACAAACAACTGAGAGTGGACAGATTGTCAATTAGAATGCCGATATCCGTTCTGGAAAAATATTCTATGATTTTTCAAGGTATATATATGTGTATATATATATAACTTATGTGTCTCCACTAATACAAAAAATCTGTCACCCGCAACAGCAAACTACTCAGAAATGCCTCGTCGCAAGAAGTTTGAAAAGCTGTAATTCAGGTTTTGAGATATTGATCTGAAATTTTGTATAATTTGGAAAGAGTTAAGTAGTAATTTCCATTTTTTTTTATAAAAAAATAAATACGTTTTTTTCTTTTGAAATTTTTTTATATATGCATTGTATTTTTATTTAATTTTCTATATGTATATTTTTGGTTATACTTA